AACATGGCCATCATCAGGAGAAAAAAATCCTTTCTTGTTAGTAAACGTATTAGCAGTGAACTACTGGGGTGAATGATTATCTCTGAAGAAGGTGAATTTTGCCTTTAGTTTTCATTTGTTCTGGTTTTTAATGTAAATTTTTGGTCAGTCTTTGTATTCGTCAAAGGCCTTTTTCAAGTTCTTTTAAGGAGAAGCTGGGAGACTCACGAGTCTTAGAGATACCTCCATAGTAATTCTGACGGATTTATTGGTTGCTGGGAAGGGGATGTGTGAGTGTGCGTATGTCGAAGACCTCATCACCTCTGAAAGCATGTCTGCTTAGTGTGGATGAAAGTGGGAGTGGTTAAGAGAGTCAGGTCGGACCCTTCATGGGTGGTGCCCTCTTCTGTGTCGTATCACCAGAGGATATTCACCTATGCAGAAATTATAATATGGGTGAGAGAAATAGTGGGTGATCTATGGGGGTATATATTAATTCTATCCGTGCTGTTTAGTTTGCTATTAAATCCGTACGAACAAAGAGATTTGAGGCGCAAAATCCATTTGTCTTCATGTTCTTCTAGTATTTTCCTAACTTTTTCTTTTGTGCTTATTTCTATTCCTTCAATAACAGTGAATTTTGAATGGCTTTTGAAATCATGTTTTGTTTTTTGTTGTTGTTTTTTTAGGCGGAAATGTTGTTCTACAGATAATAATCTTTCGTGGGGGCCGACTTAATACAATTCCGATAATTATTAATTCTGTATTGAAATGGCTATTCAGATTTCCACACATATTCTTTCTGACATAGTGTTCATTCTAATAAGTAAATTATGTTATGACTTGTACATTTAGAGTTGAGGTAGGTTTTGAATGTATTGTTATATATATATATATATATATATATATATATATATATATATATATATATATATATATATATATAAACCCTCGTGCTAATTAATTGAAACAACACGAATAATTCCTTTATTTTCTTTTTTTTTTATTTTTCTAATGAAACATGACCCAGTGCACATTTTAGGACTTTTTTTTATGTCCATTCCATGAAATTCTTCCTTGAAGATTGATCCCAAATTCTCAATTGGATTTAAATCAGGAGAGTTTCCGGGCGAGTCTATAGTAAGGCTTGCCATTGTGTTTGTACAGCGTTACAATTGTCGTACGCTTCCTTGGAGTAACGTCCATTGCAGACAATGGCCGTAGGACAACTAATCGACAGTGAAGAGAATAGCGTCTGAACGTGATATAAATCTGATGCAATCACGGAAGTATTTTTCAAGGCCAAACAAATTTAATCTTACACCCCCAAAATAGATTCATTTTACTGCACACCACTGAAGATGACCTAATCCGAAGAAAAAATAGAAATCGATTACGGCCTGTCACTCCATGGGTCTAAAACTGACCGTACAGTGAAAGTCAGTCATTTATGTGCCATATGTGATACACGTGTAGGCGATCATGTATCTTTCGATACATGACTGACAATGCAGACATTTCCCGCAGTAGGTTGCCATTTCTTTCTGCGGTAGACCAGTTGCTATCCAAGGTTACAGAACCCAGTCTGTCCTGCTATTTACCCATAGCTGGCGGGAGAAGAGGATTCATACATTTCTCAATGTTATTAGCATGTAAGTGAATATAATGGATTCGACTGAAAAGTTAGTCAGTCAGTTACACGTCATGCAGGATACACGCTTAGGCGATCATGTATCTTTCGATACATGACTGACGAGGCAGATTTTTTCCCCCAGTAGGTTACTATTTCTTTCTGCGTAGACCAGTTGCTATCCAAGGCTATAGATCCCGGTCTGTCCTGGTACTTACCCATACCTCGGCGGAGAATAAGCGGATTCATACCTTTCCCAAGGGTATTAGCACGTAAGTGAATGTAATGGATTCGACTGGAATTCGAACTCGGCTCTCCGATTCCTCAATTCGAGCTGCTATCCATTATTTCACTGTGCCTCCTCATGGTGAAAGTAAGGAAACTAAAGCGGCTTTTTTCAATTAATTTGCACAAGAATGCATATATATATATATATATATATATATATATATATATATATATATATATGTATGTGTGTGTGTGTGTGTGTGTGTGTGTGTGTGTGTGTGTGTGTGTGTGTGTGTAGTGCAACCTCGGTTTTCGAACGTCTCACATGCCGAACAAATCGGTTTGTGAACAGAAAATTCGAGATGAAAATGCCTCGGTTATCGAACAAAATTTCGGTTCTCGAATAACATTGCCCAACCGAGTTAACCCGAATGGAATCCTTTCTGAGTCGACCGCCATGTTGTATACTTTCCTGTGTTGTACCGTGCTTTTCTTTTCTAATTTTATTGTACTGTGAATTTTTTTCTCTACATTGATTCCGATTGGAAAAATAGTTTCGGTTTACGAACATTTCGGGTTACGAACGGCCTTCAGGATTAGATTAAATTCGTGAAGCGAGCTTCCACTGTCAGAAGTCATAACATAATTTAACTCCTAGAATGCACACTATGCCAGAAACAATATGTAAGAAAATCTGAATGGCCCTTTCACTACGGAATTTATAATTATCGCAATCGAATTAAGTCGACTCCCCATGAAAGATTATTACCTGTAGAACAACATTTCCGCCTGGAAAAACACGATTTCAAAACCCATGCCAAATTCACTATAATTGAAAAGAATAAAAAAGTTCAGAGCAGATAACATTAGAAAGATTTTAGAGTCCCATGAAAATAAGTGGATGCGTCGTTTAAAAAATTCACTATCCAGACGCATTTAATCACAAATTTAACAATATAGATAGTATTAATATATAACCCCACAAATCAGGACCTACCCACATTTCTCACCCACACAAGACAGACATGCTTACGGAAGTATTGAGGCCTCACATTTATACACACACACACACACGAATATACACGCTTACACACATCATACTCACTCACTTCCTAAGAACCAAATAACACACACACACACTTAACAGAGACACACCCCCTTTTCAGGAACCAATAAAACTGTCAAAATGACCAAGGGAATTCAGAGCAGCATGAATCCATCCAGCTCTTATCTTAAATAACTTAAAAGAGACTGTTTGACCAACACAAGGACTGACCAAAATTCACGTTAAAAAAATAAAAAAAACAAATGAAAACTACAAACAAATTTCATTTTCTCCATCAAGACATTCATTTCTGTAGTTCACTGCAACCAGCAAACAGAATCTTTTCTCCTGATGATGGCCATGTTGGTCGAAACTAGTCGAGGAATCTAAATGAAATAATAATAAAAACGAAAGAATATTAATATACAACCCAGTGTGTCTGAAGATTTAAAATGTTTAATATTTTATTGTTCAATATATATATATATATATATATATATATATATATATATATATATATATATTCAGTAATCCTTCTTTTATGCCCGTTCCATTGAATATGACAAACAAGATGCTTCGATTTAGTTTTTTTTATACAATATCTCATGTAATCTCATATTTTTTTCTCTTTGGTAGATAAATTACATAAAAAACTGTCCAATTATTCTTTTTTCCGAGCGCTTTCGGCTATACATTTAGCCATTTTCAAGATTGAAATATATTAACTGTTAACAAGAAATAGATTGTTGTATGTATGTATTTATATAATGTTTTCATCTTCAAAACACGGTCAAGATATTGTGTCCATGTTCATAGTTAATATTATTGAGTATTTTTTTTTTGTTTGTGTTAATAAGGCTTCAATTATTTTCAGCGTTTTTTTTACATGTAGACGATGTATGTCAGAAGATTCAATATATATATATATATAAATATAAATATATAAATATATATATATATATATATATATATATATATATATATATATATATATATATATATATATATATATATGTATATTTAGGCAACAATTTTTTTTTAATGCATGTTTCATTAAATAATATAAACGAGTTTTGTCTATTTATTTATCGTTGAAAGACGAAAGGAAATTACCATATTGATACATGTTTAAATCCAATCTAAGGCTACATTTATAATTACAAGTCTTAACAGTTCTGTGGGCTGCTGCAAGCCGAAAGCTTAGGTTGAATTTAAACATCTATCAATATGGTGATTTCCTTTCGTCTTTCAATGATAATGTGATTAAGCTTATCAGACAATGTGAAAGGAACTTACTTGAAACAAATAGATAAAAGTTGCCTATATTATTTAATGAAACATGAATTAATGAAAAATTGCTGCCTAAATATACAAAATCTAAATTACATCATCCAGCAGCCCACCAAACTATCGACACTTGGAATTATAAATGTAGCCTTATAATGGCTTATGTAAGCCGAAAACTTAGATTGGATTTAAATATGTTTCAATATGGTGATTTCCTTTCTTCATTTAATGATAATGTTATTAAACTTATCAGACAATATGAAAGGAACTTGTCTATATTATTTAATGAAGCATGCATTCATCTATCTATCTATCTATCTATCTATCTATCTATATATATATATATATATATATATATATATATATATATAAAGTGAACATAGAAGTCGACACTTAGAGGCGACAGTCTGTTTCATGCTATATGCAATCGTCATATTTATATTTACACACGCTCTATCTCTGATATCGAGCACTTTATCCCATAAATATAGCACACCTTAAGACTATATTTCTTCATATATATATATATATATATATATATATATATATATATAGATATTTCATTAAATAATAAATATATATATATAAATATATTTTTTAATGAAACATGCATATATCTATCTATCTATCTATCTCTCTCTCTCTCTCTCTCTCTATATATATATATATATATATATATATATATATATATATATATTCATAGATGTTTCATTAAATAATATAGACAAGTGATGTCTATTTAATGATAATGTTATTAGGCTTATCAGACGTTATGAAAAGAATTTACATAAAATAGACAACACTTGTCTATATTATTTAATGAAACATGTATGAATTAAAAATGCTGCCTAAATACAAAATAATATATATATATATATATATATATATATATATATATATATATATATATATATGTATATATATATATCACATTTAGGCTGCGCTTATGAACTTCTGTTGTCTTTTTTTCATGTGTACTGTTTCCTGTTCCCTACCTTGTTAATGGTTGTTAGTCTACACATCTCTCAACCGATTGATTCATAAATTGTTGCCCTATTATACCTACTTTCTACGATTCTACGCTCTCTCCATTTTTTCTCTTCTTCAATTTTAGCCCCCACCTTTATTTTTATCAACTCGCCTTGTCTTCAGAAATTTCTCCCCCCGCCGTATTCTCATTATCTTTGCACCTTTGCCTCGACACATCCCTTTCATTCCACTCTTTCTTTAATACCCACATCATCGCCTAAAGTTCCAGATCTAAATGTCATTCTATTAACCTGCGGCCATCTGCCAATGGGGTCTTTCCCGCCTACACCAAATGTCCCGACGAATATTCCCGCCAAAACTAACTTCCCCGCGGGCGCTGCCGGGGGCCTTTTACCTTCGGGGACGTAGACTATGGGATGCTTGCTTACGATTCAAATGCTATTTATCGCCAAGAAATTCCCGGAGACTAGGAACGGCTAGAGTTTCAATTAGACGCAAGACCGGGATAGTTGATCGCCTTCATGACTACAGTTCGGACGCCATCTTAGAATTAATAAAAGCCGAGGAGCAAATGAACGCTAGCCATGAAGGGTTGCTAATAAATTAGGAACAAAAGAAAATTTCGAATATATTGGTTTACCGAAGGAAGTGTAAAGAACTATTATACTTTGAATATTTTCTTGCAGGCAATTCGCAGTAGATGCAATGACCCATAACTCGGCTTTATTGACGTAATTACGAGTGTGGGAGTTATGCAAAATATGATTACCACGTCTGGGAAAAGAAACATACCTATAACGACAAACAAAGCCATTCAAGAATGACATAGCACGTACGCACGCACGCACGCACACACACACACACACACACACACACACACATATATATATATATATATATATATATATAATTTAAGGTATGCTATATTTATGGGATAAAGTGCTCAATATAAGAGACAGAGCGTATGTAAATATAAAAGTGAACATTGAAGTCATCACTCAGAGGCGAGAGACCGCTTTCTGCTAGATGTGGCCAGATGATTGTGTTTACCTTGAAACAGTCTGTCGCCTCTGAGTGCTGACTTCAATGATCCCTGGACATTGAGGTTTACCTGGATTCTATCCTCTTGGAATTTATATATATATATATATACATATATATATATTGACCACTAATATTATCTATCTATCTATCTATCTATCTATCTATCTATCTATATATATATATATATATATTGACCACTAATATTAATATTATCTATCTCTGTATATATATATATATATATATATATATATATATATATATATATTATGTCATTCGCAGACAGTACTGTTTCGCTGTATCACAGCTCCTCAGTGCGACAAGACAGCCGAATGTCTCAAGCCCGGATCGAAACACAACCGATTTGATGTCACTCAGAGCTTCTACCACGGAGCCGACTTCACTGGACAAAAGGAGTCAGCCAAATCTAGCGTAAATTTTTTTACAAACGTAAACAAACGTCAAGCAGCCATAGTGCTCCATTCATTTTACTGAAGAGCTTCGCATTTACGCAGGTGACCGTCGTTTTAAAAATTAGCTTGTCATTCAACAGTGCTCAATTGAAAATATATTTTCAAGATACATATATATATATATATATATATATATATATATATATATATATATATATATTTAGGCAGCAATCCTTCATTTATATATGTTTCATTAATAACAACTGACAAAATTACCTTGGCTTGGTAGAAAATGTCAGCTATTCTCTGACAGAATTTTAGCGTCTATTTCGTCTTGTTATAATGCGGGTAAGTTGCGCACAGTTTTTCAAACTAGACCCGTGTTTCCGTCCTTTACTAAGGATAGTTTTTCCTATTTTAAGAAAAAAATTTAGTTGTGTACAAGTTCAAATGCCATTGTGACACGGTATACATAGGACGAACTAATCTAAGGTTGGAGACGCGGTTTGCGCAGCATGTTCCCGGCTACGTTTTTTTTTTTTTAAGCATTACGCCCCGAGCAAGGGTTGCAGAAGATTTAGAGCGAGAGCAGATAGGAGTGATAGAAGAAAGGATGAGGAGAAGGATAGTGGATAGATCAAGGTAACATTACATTTGAATAGTTGGAGATTATAGCTCTCAGGGAAACAGTAATTGGGAAGGGTGTTCCACAGGCGAGAGGTGCGAGGTATGAAGCTATTCGAGTAGAAAAGACGGCTACATTTAAAAGTTTCTACAGTTTAAGGGTGGGAACAGAATGCCAGCCTCGTAGGGCGCTTGAATTCATGTAGTCTGGGAACCAGTGAAAGCAGCTCATCAGAGCAATTACCATGAAAGTATTTGTAGAAAAGACAGAGAGAGGCGACGGCGCGTCTGTGAGAGAGCAACTGTAGACGAGATGCCAGATCAGGGCCAATTATATTGCATATCCGTCTCTGGATCTTGTCAAGAACTCCGAGGTAAACAGAATGTGCCTCTGACCATATATGGCAGCAATACTCCATGCAAGGGCGAATGGTTGATTTGTATATTTGAAGTATCGATTCCGGAGAGAAAAATTTCCTGGCGCGGCACAGAGAGCCAACTTTCCTCGCGGTGGAAGAAGCAATTGACTCAATGTATTTGTTCCATCTCAGGTCAGCAGTCAACGTGAGACCGTGCAGACGCAGGGAGTTGCTCTCAAGAAGTTGACTATCAGACATTCTAATGGGGTGCAGGGAAGGATCTCTATGGTAGTCTTAGCCAGTCTATAAGAACTACTCAGGCGTTCCATGAATCTTCCATCGGTCAGCATTTTCTCGACAACCATTCTTGTGCCTCTGAATATGAAGACGTTTGGTTTTCAGTATTACAAAGCGCTCGCTAGGTATACCATCTCAGAGTCTTGGAAGCTGCTTTTATAAATTGTCATCAGCCTAGCCTGTGTAGACAAAAGGAACATTTTTTTACGTTCCTTGCGGTTGATGGGGGGTTTGTGTCTCTTTTTCCATTTTATGCTCTTGTGGAATTTGTTATTTTCACCCACCCCCTGTTCAATTTTAATCGTGTGTAATTAAAATTTCTCTTTTAATCTCGTTCCACCTTTCCCTCCCCCTTTACTTTATTGAGTGTGTCTTCATTTGTATTCCCACTTGCCAACGTATACCTTTGAAAAAGTGTTGGCCGAAAGGTTTCTAAGGTATGAAGTCGTCTGTGTTATTTAAAACTATGTTTCATTTCTGTGGGTACAAATCACTTTATATATATATATATATATATATATATATATATATATATATAGAGAGAGAGAGAGAGAGAGAGAGAGAGATAATATTAGTGGTAAATATACATACATATGCAAAATATATAAATACCCATACATGTATATTTTTAGAATAAAAAAATTCAAGAGGAAGAATCCAGGTAGAACTCAATGTCCAGGACAGAAAGGATATAATAAAAAGGCTTAAAAAAAAGTTTTTTTTCTGTTTTCTTTTTTTGAATTTGTAGGTCTGATGAATTGGATCGTATTTACGATTCCAATGGAATAAATTATGACCATGGAATATTAGTGTTTAAGCCTTTTTATTATATATATATATATATATATATATATATATATATATATATATATATATATATATATATATATATATATGGAAAGTTTAATGTAGTTGTTTAATAAATCCTACTCGATATATATGTAATAATTAGACAGAATGAATGAATACATTTGTTATAGTAAAATTACCAGTAATACATTTTTATGGCAAAATAACGAACAATATATTTTATCTGTAGTTGTAGGTATGCAACTGCGTTCAAAATATTTAAATTTTGGAGTTAAATAATCTTTAAAGGTTGATATGCCGCTAAACAAAATCAACCAACCAAAATGAAAGAACCCGTTCATGATATTAATACAAATTATGTTGCAGGCTGTGCCAACTTCTATTTGTTCACCTCAGGGTCGATAACCGTCTGCTTCTTTTACTTCAGGCCTTCTCATTTTTACAACCACAATTTCACAGGATAAGTAACGACGATCCAAAAAGAAAACCTGAAGCAGCCCTTAGAAAAATCACCTAAATGCTTTAACATTTCAATCCCCAACATCCGTGGCATTAGAACCAATTTCTGCAGTGTGGAATCTTTCCTCATTGCGAACTGCCCGGATATACTGCCTCTGTGTGAGACCAACCTTGTCTCGTCTATCCCCTCCTCTGATCTCTCGATCCTCGGCTACCTTCCCTTTCTTAGAAAAGACCCTCAAACCCACATGCATGGCCTTGGAGTTTACGTCAAGGACCATCTCCCGCTGGCTAGAGAGTTGTCTCTTGAATCTCCAGACCATTCGTCCATGTGTCTCCGGCTATCTCTTCTCAATGCTGTAAGCTACCTCTTCTTCCTTTATCGTTCACCATCCTCCCAAGACTGTGGTATAATTGAATGCATTTCTGACAGCATTGACAAGGTTCTCTCTCTCCATCCGTTTGCTTACATATTCGTGTTTGGTGATTTTAACGTCCATCATACCAAGTGGCTTAATAACGCTACTACTGACCTTGCAGGCATTCAAACCCTTAATTTTTCAATTTCTCAATCCCTCACGCAGATAGTTGACTTCCCCACACGCTTTCCCTACAACCGGAACGGTAAGGCTCCTCTTCTCGATTTTTATTTTACCACCATCCCCGAGACCTGTAGCGCCACGCAAATCTGCCCTCTTGGTAACTCTGATCATGCGGTAGTATCTGTTAACATCTCCTTCAACTCCACCCCCTGCAAAGAACCTCCTACCACTAGAACCTCGTTCTGCTATCAACGAGCAGACTGAGACTCCTTCCGGGATTTCCTTCGCGATGTTCCCTGGGATGTCATCTTTACGCTCCCAGTTCAAGAATGTGCTTCCGAGGCCTCCTCCTGGGTTAAAGCTGGAATCGAGGCTTTCATCCCCTCAAGGAAATATAAGGTCAAATCGCGCTCCTCCCCTTGGATCTCCGCTGTTTTCTCAGCTGCCACTGCCCATAGGAACCACATCTTCCACTTACATCGTAGCGACATGTCTGACTGCAATAGACGTCTCTTTGTCTCTGCCCGTAACGAGTGTAAGCGTGTCCTCAATGAAGCAAAGTCACTATTTGCTGCTCGAATGAAAGAACGTATTGCATCTTGCAAATTCGGCTCCCAGGATTATTGGTGTCTCTGCAAGAGCGTATTTAATAATAGCAAACCCTCTATACCTTCTTTGTTCAACCAGTTTGAGGTTCTGACCTCTTCTGCCGACAAAGCTGAATGCTTTGCTCAGAAATTCTCATTCAATTCAACGCTCGACTCTTCCGGTGTACCCACACCCGATTTCCCTCTTAGAACTGAGCTGCACATAACCCCGTCATCGGTATTGGGCATTATCTCTAATTTAGACCACCACAAGGCTAGTGGTGGAGAAAGGATATCAGCCATTGTCCTGAAGAAATGTGCGCCTGAACTGGCCCCTGCCCTCTCCAAATTATATAACTACTGCCTCAATGAATCTTGTTTTCCAGACTGTTAGAAGTCCTCATCCATTGTTCCTGTCTTTAAGAACTCTGGTGACCCTTCTGACCCTTCTAATTACCGTCCTATCAGTCTCCTACCCCTCTTCGGTAAAGTCTTCGAAGCTTTAATCAACGCCGAAGTGGTTAAGCACCTTATATCTCATGATCTGCTCTCCGTCAAGCAATATGGTTTCCGCTTTGCCCGTTCTACAGCTAATGTGCTTACGGGCATCACTGAAATTGTTTACCGAGCTCTTCAGAATAATGGAGAAGCTCGTGCCGTGGCTCTAGATATCTCCAAATTGTTTGATATGGTTTGGCATGCCGGCCTTCTTCGCAAGATTCAGGGTTATGGAATTTCAGGTCGATTGTTTGGCTTAATGCAATCATTCCTGTCAAACCGTGTATTGAAGGTCGTTCTCAACGGATTCCCCTCCAGCTCCTATCTCACGAACGCAGGTGTTCCCCAAGGCTCTATCCTATGCCCTACTCTGTTTCTTATCTTCATCAACGATCTTCCTGACGTCATAGATTCTCAAGTAGGCAATCTACGCGGATGTTTACTACAATTTACACCTAAAAACAAATCTAGTGTTGTTGACAAAACTAACCTGGCCGTGCGTCTCGAAAAGAACCTCCAATCGATTGTGGACTGGGGCAGGAATTGGCTGGTTAACTTTAACGCCTCAAAAACAAAACTGCTCTCTATTAATCACCACAGAGATCCTTCCCTGTCCCCCATTAGAATGTCTGACGCTCAACTTCTTGAGAGCTCCTCTTTGCGACTACTCGGCTTCACATTGACTGCTGATCTGAGATGGGACAAATACATCGAGTCAACAGCTTCGTCCACCGCAAGGAAAGTTGGCTCCCTGGGCCCCGCAAGGAAATTTTTCTCGCTGGAGTCGATCCTTCAAATCTACAAATCAACCACTGGTGTCCCTTCTGTTTGTTTCAATGTCCTTGATAAGATCCAGAGACGGATATGCAATATAATTCGCCCTGATCTGGCATCTCGTCTGCAGTCGCTCTCTCACAGAGGTGTCGTTGCCTCCCTCTGTCTTTTTTGTAAAAACTTTCATGGTAACTGCTCCGAGGAACTGCTTTCGCTGGTTCCAAAACTTCATGAATTTAAGCGTTCATCTAGGCTGTCGTCTCGCTCTCACCATTTCACTGTCGAAACTGTTAAATGTAACCGTCTCTTCTACTCCAAAAGCTTCATGTCACACACTTCTCGCTTGTGAAACTCCCCTCCCCTTTTTCTGTTTGCCTGATAGCTATAATCTACAACTATTCAAATGTAATGTCAATCGACGTCTCCAGATGTCTTGATCTATCCCCTATCCTTCTCTTCATCCTTTCCTCTATCACTCCTATCTGATCTTGCGCCAAATTTTGTTCTCGCTTCAACTCTCTGTAAACCCTTGCGTGCTAGTGGCTTCCTGATTTGCTTGGAATGAAACGCTTAAAAAAAAAAAAAAAAAACAACATAATATCCTACAATTTCTTAAAGAAATCAAACTGCATTCCAAAATATAACTTCCATAAAACTACAACATAAAATGCATATATAATCGCATCTAGTAAATTATGTCCACACGAACATGTATATGCACAAAAGCTGAGTATCATCTTGCTGTTTGTTTACTTTTTTTTAATAAAAAATATTTTATTTTCAGATTATAAAAATATTTAAATAATTAAAATACACTGACAGTTACTCATCTATAAATGGGATAAAAAAACTATTGATTTATTTATTTGGCGATTTAAGTCTCATCATATACATTCATCAGTTCATATCTATCTATCTATCTATCTATCTAACCTAACTCATATATATATATATATATATATATATATATATATATATATATATATATCTGTCTGTCTAATATCACTTCATATCTATCTTTAAATTTAAGATCACTTCATATCTAAGAATAATCAATTCAATTTATCTATTTGTTTGGTGCATAATTATCAGGCGTTTTTCTAGGCGATTTATTTGTTAATAAAAATTGCTGTTTTGTTTACTTTTTTAAATAAAAATATTATTTTATTCTCACATTATAAAAATGCGTATCGATAATCATTCGTTCCGGAATAATCATTTAAAAATGTTATTGTTGAATTGTTACGTTTCTTTTTTCATAATAAATATTGTTTAAAAACGCTTGATAATTATGCACCAACCTAATAATACTTATAGCAATAATAATAATAATAATGATAAATACGCATAGAATTAAGTTATTGTAATTTGATAGAAGGTATTTTTTTCTGAGTATTTCTATGTTATTATACTTTACTCAAACGAATTGCTTCTTGAATAATAAACAAATAATGTTTACCCCAAGTAAATCTTTTATATCGAAAACGTTTTTTTTTTTTATTGAGTGATATCTGCATCATCATTTATATATAGTTTTCTATACTTGGCTTTCTCTGCCGTAAATTGTCTCTATGTGTGTATGATGCATTTGATGTCGTTACGATTAGAATGTGTCATGTCCCTATAATTCTTGTAATTCTTATGGATTCCGATTCAATTTGCTGGCTTTCATACTGCGCATTACCTTCAAGAATCCGCGTGAAAGGAAAAAAATACCCTTCTTCATAGTCGACCACTCTGGGATCCGTTTGAAGCAAACTAAAAGAGATCCATCTTTCATAGCGCCATCTTGTGCCGTCATCAAATATTTTACTGTCGTCTGCTTCGACCTAACAGCTGGATACCAACACAGCATTAATCGACTAACGAACTTACGTAATAAATTCAAGACTCACACGAGTTTCTTTAAGTTCTGATGAGCTTCCGTTTTTTGTATTTTTCCTGCATCCACATTATTTAGAAACATTTTTCTTATTCTATTACTAGCAGCATGACCCGGCGTTGCCCATGCTTGATTAAAAAATCGTACGACTCATACAGCAATCGCTATCACTTGACTTGAAATATTTTTGCCCTTCCTTGCCTTTAAGGGAGTGCTCTTTGCCGTGCTGATGTTGCTACATGCCTTACTTCTTGCCTGTCTCACACTGCGAATTTTTTCTAAGCTCTATACTAAACATTAAATCTGTTATGAAAAAAGAACTAAACAAAATGAACACAAAACGATCAGCTTTAAAAAAAGGACTTGTAACTGGAAAAAAAAAATGAATGAAAAAAAGAATGTTAACAACAAATACTTTTTCACACCCAACCCAGTTCTGCGGAATCAGAATCAACGTTGAGTTTAAGCAAGCGATTGAGCCAATTGGAGTAAAGTGCCATGCAGATTTAAATTTTTCTCACTTGTCACGAATGCAGCTATCGATTTTTTTTTTGCATGCTAGCATGCTAGTTAACATTCGTGCCAGTCAGCTGTTGGCTCTCACGCTGGCCAATAGAATCTTCCTGCCTATTCGTGGCAGCCAGCTATAATCTCTCACTCTGGCCAGTAGGAAATGGCCGCAAACTACATGAAAAGTGCCGCAAAATCATGAAAAATCGATTATTTTCACTATCGATGGGAGTTGGGAAATGCAAAATCGGTCTTGGCCTTCCTACTAACTTGGCGCATGTGAATTAAAATTTTGGTTCAAATCCGTCGAAAATTGCGGCCGTGCATTCGTTACACACACACACACACACACACACACACATCCTGCTTTTTATAGATAGAGATTTACGTTTTCGGATTTGCTTTCTCTCTTTCTTCTTTCTTTTTTCCCTTTGGCTTTTCTTTTATCTTTATTTTGATTTCGTCTTCTCTTTCTTTTTACTGTGTGCTTCCTTTCGGGGACGATCATGTTTTGCGGGTGGAGCAGGTAATGAACTCTCCCGGTTGTAAGCCGTTAAAAGTTAGTAACTTATTTCAACCTCCAATCACATACAAAGATCTACCACCAGAAGCTCTAATACTAGAGTACTTTTGAAAAAACAGAAGCCAGAATTATTGATATAGTTAAACATAGATGTACGTTGTCTCCCAAAAACCAAAATCAATGTAGGACATGATATTAACAGCTATATAGAGAATACGAATGTCAGTGTGTCACACTTTTTCAACTTTACTCCTAGAGGCCGTAGCCGAAAATATCATACCATTTTGGAATCAGACCGACTCCGTGAGCAAATTAAAAACAATGTGGGCCTGATCCTGAGCCGCGATCCTGAAATTTTAGATTCCCAAGCTTTTATTACTGCAATTTTTTGCGTGATTTTCTGCGACGAATTTTTTCTGTACGATAACAGTTTTATAATTGGAAACAAATTTGCGAATAGTCGAAATTAATTGCGAAATCCAGCGAAAGTCACCCAGGAAATTAAAAATATTTTTTGCACGGAAAGTAAGGACCTACGCACATCAAAATATAATTAAAATTGAAGTTAAATTTTAAAAAGTTAAGCTTAAATATTAATTCAATACTTAAATGCAGCAATCAATTTTGAGTTCTTCTGTAGTTTATTGTTGCCTATCGCATCTACTACTCCCTACCTATTGTGATGAAGACCCAATCAAGAGCCCTCCGCAGAAGCTAGCTTAAATACCGCCCGACAGGGCGGCTTTTAAACTAGTATATAATACAGTTTTTTTAAGCATTTCACCCCAAGCTAGGCGGTAGTGCCAGTAGTACACAAGGGGATTAGAGAGAGAGAAAAGACTGGGTATAGCGGGGATTGTGAAAAGGATAAAAAGAGAAATGGAGATCAAGGCATGAGAAGATGACGATTGGCGTTACAATTAAATTTATGAAGATAGTAGTTATCGGAGAAGCAAGTAAGAGGAAGGGAGTTCCCCTGTCTGGAAGTGCGAGAGAAGAAGCTGTTGAAGTAGAAGAGGCGGTTATATTTAACTGTTTCGACAGTAAACGTGTGGGACCGAGATGCCAACCTATTAGCACCAAAAGGAAACAAGCGGTGTCCAATTCAGGCTGAGAAAACTTCATTATGCCCTCTTCCACATATTCGACAATTAGCAACTAAAAAAGTTAAATAATTTATATATAATGCAAATGATGCAGCATTTGCGAAAAGTTGCTGCTTTTTTTTTCTTGCAATAAGATTCGTACCAAGCATTGCAAGATTCTTTAAATTTCAGAAAAATTTGGAGTCTCTGCAGAAACACATTTCTCTCTAGGAAATAATCATTTTTTTTTTTTTTCAAATTTTTTTTTTATATTCATATCAATTAAGCTTTCCAGGTCATTAATATAAAATGAATGTCTACGTCTTAAGCAGGGGGACCAGTTTTTTTATGAAAATTAATTGTAAATAGACCCCCTTATTATACCCTACCCTCAAAATTATGGGGTGCAGAATTAATTTCAACTCGGAACTAATTTCAACTAGGGACTAATTTCAATTCGGAATTAATTTCAATTCGGAACTATTTTCAACTCGGAACTAATTTGAACTCGGAACTAATTTCAATTCGGGACTAATTTCAATTCAGAACTAATTTCAATTCGGAACTAATTTTAACTCGGAACTAATTTCAATTCGGAACTAATTTTAACTAGAGACTAAGGGTTAGGGTTTTTAAATCGAGTTGAGACTAGTTTCGAGTTGACATTAATTTCAAGGTGAAATTAGTTCCAAGTTGAAATTAGTTCCAAGTTGAAATGTGAAATGTGAAGTTGAAATGTATTTAAATCAAGTTGAGACTAGTTTCGAGTTGAAATTAATTTCAAGGTGAAATCAGTTCCGAGTTGAAATTAGTTCCGAGTTGAAATTAGTTGTGTCACTCAAAATAATTGTTAAATAACAACATAACAATAAAAATAAGTAAGAATATGTTTTAAATTCATATTTTGAACTTGTTTTCAAACTAACTGAAATATTGTATGTAACCATTAGTTTAACTTTTATCACTCTTTATATGACTTCCTTTCGCTGTACAAAATGTTTATCCTGCCACTCAAGGTGACTCTGATCCCTGAATTTGATTAAATTTCATATTTCATATTTGCTTTGTCATATCCTGCTATGGCAACAGAAAAAAAAAACCTTTGGGTGAAATTATGTTTACTGCAATTAAGAAACCTTGAAAAAGACCCCAGCCCAAAGGGAAGTAATATTTATAATGCAGTGTACTCAAGGTTAACACCACACAGGCAAAAGGTAAATGAAAACATGCATAATATGCATTTTTTTCTAAAAAATAATAAGCAAAATTAGTAGTGTGTATTATTCAGAGCTACAAAAATCTTTAAAACATTGCCGTTTCATAGGACGATTTAAGTTGCGAAATGACTACTCACCACAAACATACATCAATTTGACGCTAACATTCGGCGATTGCGACCCCATTAGGATGTCAAATACAATCATATGTACCTAACAATACTTACAAATGTAAAATAAAATAAGAATTATTATAAGTAGCAAATGCTTGCCGTAATGAAATTCCAGAGGTACAATATTTAGGGTTTGATTACCAAACATGGGGTGCGTGTTATGCATGAATAGAAGCCTTTTCCCACTCTCAGCACAATTTTAGGGGTGCCTATTATGGATGAAGGCGTATTATACATGGGAATTAAGGTAAATATTAATTTTTTTTTTAATTACTGAACATTATGGCAGAAATGGTGGACGAATGACCAACAAGAAGTCCGACATTTTCTTGTCGATAACTTCAAAGCGCTAGGTTTCTTTATAATTTAATTGTTAATTCTTGTTCAGTATGTACATTTACACGGAATTATGACGATTTGGGAAAATTTTAAGAGATATTTAGCGCGCGGGCGTTAAAAAGCAAATTTGCCGCATCATTTTGGCTTACTAAGAGGTTGGGGTCATTTCACAATGAATTTATATAAAAAATCTGAACCCCTTTAAAAA